CCAGAGTTAGAGGTCAAGGAAGAAGATAGTGTCCGCGCAGCAGTTGCATATTGCAAGATTGCGATTCAGGCTAAGCAGTCAGCTGGCTACTGTGGCCTAAGGTCATGGATAGCATGGGCTTCAGCTAATAAGCTTATCAACCTTGAGAAGGAGAAGGCGAACAGAAAGCGCAACCCTGAAGATGTGCTCAAAAAAGCGCATGCAGAAGTCGCTACCTTGACATATGGTGCGTTCAAAAATCGCCTTTCAGAAGCAGGAAAATTGGAAAATTTGGGAGCATTTATGGCCATGCTTCCCTTCGATGGACAACTGGACGACGGTATAGCACTTCGGGATTACCAAAGGGTTGGGCAAGACGAGATGGAACAGTTGAAGGAGCAGTCAGCGAGGGGCATTGGTTCACAATTGGCAGAGGTGGCGGACGAATTTCTGACAGCTTTGCGGGAAGGCAAGGCGTACCCCAGAAGGGCTTGGGAAGATGCCGCTGAAACAGAACTGGTGAAATCAACTCTGCAGCACCAAGTGGAGCTGCTTCAGCGCGTGTGAAGCTCAGAGTGGCGGCCGCACGGACAGCAGCGGCAGGATGAAGAAAGGAAAAAGATTGCAACAGTTTTGGTTACTTTTTTCTCGAAGGCGTTGAGGCTGGCGCAGAATGACAATTCAATCTCATTCTAATTGGTTGTGTAATTAGTCAGCACGTCAGCCTGGGCTGACGTGCTGACTAATCGATGCTTGGTGGCATTTATCGGTCGATGCTTTGCTCACCTCGAGGTCAGACCTGGCCGATTTTGGAGGCCCAACGACCCGTGTTCCGGCAGGCGGTACCAGCACCCCGCCGCCCTGGCACCCCGCTAGGAGACACAGCTCGGTCAAGGCGGCTCATGACAGCGGCCAACCCCTGGAGCGACGCACGCTACGGCGCACGCGGATTCAAAAAGTACTGTGCAGCAGCTGGGTTGGCTTCCACCCCTGCTTTGCGGCGTGTGGGGAGGTTAATGCGTAAGTAATTGGACGCCATGTTTTTAGCTGGAAACATGCTGCGGCGGGCGCGCGGAAACGCGTAAAAAGCAACCAGGAACGCGACCACGCTGCGTGTTTTACCGGAAAAGCGGATGTATCTGCGCCGCGTATTGACGGAAGTCTTCACATGCTGCCACACAACTATTCAGCGTGCATGGTGAACTTCCAGCGGAGGGTGGGAAAGGTTGCGTGCTGCTCGGGGTGAGTGGTCTGATAGCGCTGCAAGTCGCTGTCTAAGCAAAACACCCGGGTGCGGTTATGACGCTGCTAAGCCTGAGTAGCGACATGTACCTCCGTGACCTCAAGGGAATAACACGAGAAGCGGAGGTTCGGCCGGTACCGAGTAGCCCACGGGTGACTGTCTCAAAAAGCCATCGCGAACGTCAAAGTCCTGGACGGATGCCCAAGAGTCCTTTTGCCCGACATTTCCCTGCCCCTTTCCACGCCTCTTTCCATGCCCCCTCCTCCATGGCCTCTTTTCATAGCCTCTTTTTATGCCCCTCCTCCGGCCTCTTTTCGTGGCCCCCTTCCATGCCCCCCCTTTCAGGCCGCCCGCCTTGCAGGCTGGACAAATCCGCGATAAGGGATTCGCGTTTATTGGATGGGGCGCCCTAACGCGTTGTCGGCGAGTCAAAAAGAGCGACCTTAGGATAGGATGCCTGAAATGGACGCGTTCGTGTCACGGCCAGTAGGAACCTCTAGGGCGCACGGGCCCTGGATTAGCTAGATTACATCAGCACCCACAGCACCAAATAGAGAGCCGCACGCGCCCAGGCCTTTGGCCTCAATTCCTTGCCAATACATCTCTTGGCCTCGCTTTGGCGCCTACCCTACCTGCGTGATACTGGCCTTCCATTTGCTGCAAGCAACATATAATACAATGTCGGCCATTCAGCAACTCAATCAGATTGAACTCCTTATGCGGGAATGCGAAGCAGAGAAACGGGTCCAAGATGCGCGACTTCAGCAAGAGCAAGAAAAATTGGAAAAAAGGCTCGAAGAGATTAAACAGCAGCGTAAAGCTGTGGGGGAGGAAGTGGCGCAATCGTATATGAAACGGATCTTTTCCGACCTCGCGGTATGGTGTCTGAATCCCGTTCTTTCCATCGATTTAATTCTGACATTGGGACTGCCACGTTAGGGTACCCAAGCTCTTGAGCCCCCGGCATCTCCTAATAAAGGACGGAGCACCAGCAACCGCCTGCCGAGCGACGGATCGGGTCACGACGATGGGCCGGAAGACAGCGACAACGACGAGTCGGAAGACAACAAGGAGCCGGAAGACGACGGGTCGGAAGACAGCGACAGCGACGAGTCGGAAGACAACACGAAGCCGGTGCACAACACGAAGCTAGTGCGTAACACGGAGCCGGTGCACAACCGCGACGAACCAACGAGTGCGGCGTCGGTTTCGCCAAGAGCGCGTCGAAAGCGCGAGCTTCCGACGGAAGGGAAAGGCGATCTCGAGCATCCTAGTAAGAGGCGTCGAAGAGGGGGGGAAGTAGGCCGTACGAGGGTGAGCAGAGTGGGGGAGGCAACGAGCGACGGGGTCGAGAAAACGGTCAGTTTTGAGGAGGTTCGCGATCAACACCGTATTATTGCATGGCCAGCAGCTTCCCCCCACTTCTACACATTACGGTGCGAGAACCACGGCAAATTTTTCGACAGCAAAGATCCTGTCCAGGGAGCTGGCAAACATCTTAGCAAAATCCATGGTACAAGCGGGACACACCAAAATGCCATTCGAGAGCTTGGCTTCCGTGTGCAAAACTGCACGCGGGAACAGGTCGGAGAAAGCAACCGCGCAATCGATCAGCTCAACGCAGTGGATAAGCCCAACGCAATCGACCAGCCCCATCGACGTATTGTCAAGGACCCAAAAGCCAGCATCCAACCCACCCATGGCAAGTTCTACCAAGTTTCCTGGTCCGCCGGCGCGAAAACCCGTCCCGGCACTCCATACGTCGCCTTGTGCCTTCCGACTGGCGATTTCGACATAGTGGGCATATCAGGCTCTATTTCCACCACAGGCCTGGGAATTTGCATTCCCAGATGCTATCGCACTCGCGCGGAAAATATCCTGGAGTGGAACGAGGGTTACCAGGATGGCGGTAAAAAGGCCTACTATCGCAAATTTCCCTTCCTGTTTTTCACCAGCGATGTTAAGGTACCTTCTGAGGGTAAACTTTCTATCCCCGAAAAAGGGAAGGTGCTTGCGTGGGTATCCGCAAGCGATATCCAACAACTCGACCTCAACGACGAGACCGCCCTTCGTCTTTCAGGCTATGCGGCTGCGTTGGCATTCCAGAAATTGCGCTGCCAAAATGAGCAAGCTGTCGCTATCAACAATCAGTCATCTACAGAGCCAGACTCTCGCAATGCTGGAGATGACAGCGGGTCTGGAGATCACAGCCGGGACGGCATTCGAGAAGTTCCCGCAACTAGCCTCCGTGCAAGCGGCTCCGAGTCCAGCGGGCACGACCCGCACGCAGAGCAGCTAGCGGCTGAAGCTCCGCGATCTAATGCTGGGGATGACAACGGATCTAGAGATCACAGCCGGGACGGCAGTCAAGAAGTTCCCGCAACTAGCCTCCGTGCAAGCGGCTCTGAGTCTAGCAGGCACAGCCCGCACGCCGAACAGCTAGTGGCTGAAACTCCGCGATCCGAGCTCCGACTTGCAGACTGGGTAGATAGTTCGGCCAATTCCGCGCTGGCAGCCCTCAACATTATTGGACAAGGACCTGACTCACAACTGGACCAGAGTGCCCGCACCCAAGAAGCTCCGACACCAAGAAAGGGCTGCGATGTGGCGGAAGGCAGAGGTCGTTTGGACTTCATCTTAGGCAGGAACTAGATGCAAAACGCAAGAGAGCCAGGACAGACGGGTTCGGCAAGTGCGGAGGGAGGATGCCGATTTTTATATGCAAGTGTAGGTGAAAATTCACAGAGCATCGAATTTCAACGCTTTGCCTTTTGCAAGCCTGGAATGGAATAGTATGAGCTGGTCGGCAGGATATAAAGCACCCCTCCCACTGCTAATGATTTTAATTTTCGACAGTTTAATCTTCCCTAACGATATTTCATGTTTTTCGCGTTGCTTGTACGATTCTGGGTGGCCCATAAAAAGACTGTCTCGACTGCGGACAAACACAGAGATGGTTACTGCCCGAAGTTGCAATGGCTGCCGCTGACAGTGCATCGCTGGTGGACAACGACTGCAAGGGACCCACAATGCCCCGCCACCGTGCCGACCGAGCCATCGCAGCTGCAGCCTCGAGTACCACATGCGAGTCACCAGGCGATTTCGACTGATTCGCTGCGATGACCAGTGGGTTCGCTATCATAACCTACTCCTCAGCCCGAAACAGTTGTTATAGGTTAGGGCTGTGGCCCTACCCTGGCACCAAGGCTTGGCCTTGTAACTTGTATATAGCTCCCGACAGGCCTCGAGGATCCTGTCAGCTAGATTCCTTCCTTTGGTAGTTGATTCATCCCACCTCTTTGGCTCCCTACAGCGATCCCCCTTAGGCCAGCCTATCACAACAGTTACGTGAGGCGGATTGGGTCGGGAAATTTTGGTTAGAGCTATGCCGGCTTGTCGGCATCAGCAGCTATTATCCACAGCATATCACCCCCAGACTGACGGGGGCACAGAGCGCGCGAACCTGAAGAATATGATTAACCGGCGAGATGAAGTATCACACCGGGTTCGGCCTGAAAGATATCGCCGGCGGGGCTGCACGGGTTGTGCTGGACAGGCCTGGAGCACGGTGGTCAAGACGCAACATTGGCGTCATCCGGCCGGCCTCCAACGCCCCATATTGTGGTGATCTGGGGCTCAACGACAACTCCGAGAATTCCATGGCTCGCTGACGTAGAAATGTCGTCACCATTTGATGTTCTCACGCGACCCACGTCAGGCTGCATTTTATAAATTCCCCATTATATATGGGGTATCGCTGCGGCTCCTTGTTATAAAAATGCTCACATTGCGTAATGTCACCAGGCAAGCTTTAGTCAATACACTCCCCAATGTAGAGCCATTGGAACCTTTTCGTTTTGGAAGAAATGGAAGGCATGTCCAAGAGGAAAAAGGCCGACGGCTGGTCGGAGGAGCAGCGTGTTTCCATGTACATGGTGCACCATGTCTTTTTTCCGCCCCAGCTGCCCAGCGAAGACGACTGGGACGCCGGATTGGAGTTGCAGTTGCTCTCCACTCTACTGGACTGCCTCGAAAGCTTCGCGTCTTCTTTCACCTCTTCCAGTCAGCGCGGTGCGGCCAATTCCAATGCTGCGATGGTACGTCGTATGATACGCCAAGTTCAGAACCATGAAGGCACCCTCGACGTGGACCAACTGGCTGCGGCACTTAGGGACCTTGGCGAATCTGGTAACGTGGTTCACCACCGAGTGGATCAAACCACCGTGTGGATCACCCGCAAATACATACAGAAAATGTCAGTGCACTTTGTTCAATTTAATACAAAATTTTATAAAAATTTAATCCGTTATTATTAAGCATATTTCTTACGTAAATTTTTTTTACGATTTTTAATATTACTCCTTTTAGGTTAATTTGCATGTTGTACACAGTGTGTTACACAATACTACAAATTAACCTAAAAGGAATTTTAATAAAAATCCGGAAAAATCATTTTTATAATTGTTATAATGTTGAATATAACTGTATAAATTTTTAAGAAAATTTATTATAAATTGGCCGAAGTGCACGGTCATGCACGGACGATCTTTGTATGTGTTTACGGGTGATCCACTCGGTGGTGAACCACGTTATGTTTCTTTCGTTTTGCACTACGTTATCCTCAAGGAATAGCACCCATAAAACTAACAACCTTCTCCAACGGTATTATAGGAGGAGCCGTTGCTCTGCACATCTCTAGTCAGAATGCTGGAGTCATCGTTAGCAGGCAGGAGGATTCGGTCCATTTCGAGGTCTTCGAGCTGTGCCCTGAGAACCAGACTGTCATGGCGTCTCCAGGCAGGCTCCGCCGTCAGTTCCCAGATGTCTCCTGCCGGGTCCCGCTCAACAAGTTTTGCGACGCAGGTTTCCGAGCAAACATTGCGTTCAGCCTGGCGACGCTGAGCCAGCAGTCTCCGCCGGGCATCCGCCCACGGGTGAAGAAGGCAAGTCAAACCCATGCCGAGGATCGGGATACCGTCGACCCCATGTGGGTTACCGAGTGGCTCATCTCCGGCGTTCTGGGCCCCGACTGCGAGATTGTCGGCGGACAGGGCTTCTGGAAAAATGTCCGGGACGTCGTCCTTTGGAACAACAGCTTCATGCCATGGCGCAGATCTCCGACTTGGCTCCTTGCTCGGGTCGCTATGTAGCTCATCTTCTCCCGCGAGTCGCATGCCTCGGATCCGCTGTACAAATCATTCGTGCTCTTCTTAACCGCCTCGATCCTCAACAAGACCCCGGCTGCGCACCTGTCCAGCGACCATATGCACATCATGGTGGCCAAGATTGCCCGGCGCAAGCACAAGCTCGCGCTAGTTCGCACACAGGCGGACGAGAGGATTGTCCGATACGTTGACGGCTGTATGAATAAGGCTAGGGCTGAGCTCGCACGCCGCCAAGAACGTCTGTTCCATGACCCGGCCCCAACCCTTCATATCGCGCAGCTTGGATCACTCGATTTCGCCCAGGATGTCGTCCACCAACTGCCAGATGTTGACAAATTCGTCAAGTCGATCCCGGATCGAGAGAAAATCATGCGCCAGACCGAGTTCTGTCGGACTGGGCACCCCGCGGAGTTCAAGCCCGACAGGTTGCCCACCTTCTCCAGCACAACTCCAGAGTATATCACGGCCACTCTCGCCGCATTCGAGAAATGGGTCGCCGATCACCTGGATGCGTGGATTGTGGCCCATGCCTCGGATTGGGATGCATGTATGTACTGTTTTGGCGAATCTTCTTTCCTTACTCCTGAGGCCTTTCCCCACTCCCTGCTCCCGTTGCCTTTCCCTGTTCCCGCCTCATTTCCCCGTTCATATCACCTTTCCATGTTACTGTTACCTTTCCATACTCCCAAAACATCCTATTCTTTGGGCTCTCCAGAGATTTTAAAGGCTAACTCCAAAACGCTACAGGCGCCAAGCTAGGCACTCTCATGAAGACGTACCAAGGGCTCGCATACACCGACTACGCAAAGAATCCGGAAGGCACCTCTGTCCTTGTCCTAACGGTGCTTGAGCTCTGGATTGCCTGCGACAAGTCGGCTACCGCCCTCGACTCTCTTCTAAAGGAATACAGCCCGCGCGTGCCGGCTCAGCTGCTACAGTCATTGCTCCTTCCATATCGGGACCAGATGGTCCGTCTTGAGAAGGCTGAGCTCTATATCCTGGAGCGAACTCGGACTGCCGATCCTTCTCTGCCCCCATCTTCCAGTCCTTCGCGAGCGCCCGGTCCTTTGCCCTGCGGCACTACTCTACGTCTCCAAAACTCCAGGAACTCTACCGCCGGATCACGAAAGATGCGGAAAATGCTCGAGCCAAGAAAGTCGTCCAACTCGCCCGACTTCAGGACAGCTATAGAGACTTGAAGAGCAGGCACGACGGTCTTGTATGTGCTCAAGTGCGAGTCTGGAACCGTCGGTGGAGGGACTACATATGGGTACATAACAGGAACTGCAACAAGTGCTCGCTCAAGTCGCAGATGGACAACCTAAAGATTGACATCCACGAATGGCCACTTCCAAAAAATTCTTTGGCTGCTCTAGCAACAGTCTTCGAGCTAAGCTCGCCAGACTCTTTCAGCTCGTGGCGAGACGCGACGGCATTCCTCGTGTTGGACGTGCTGCATTGTCGCTACCAGCCCAGCACTCGTGTTTCGGAGCGTCACCTCGATGGATACTCCGCCCTCTCGGCTTATGGTCATGGCCAAACACGACTGGGATCTCAGCGCATCTCACTGTGCTCCTCAACGAAGCCCCACGCTGTCACGCATCGTAACGCGAGGCATGTCGTCGGACTGGGAAAGCATAACGTCTGCCTCAACAACGGAATGAGCTACGCCTTCTACGACAACTCCAGTCGACAGTATGTCGATCAAGTCCTGGCCATCGAAGACAAGCCTGGCCGGTGCATGTACAGTCTTCCCCCGCAGTCCCAATGGCTGGAGAAGTAAGCGTTATTTTGGCGATTTCTATTCCCCCCTCCTTTTCATTTCCCCTTCCATTTTTCACTGGAGCCGGCCGGCGGATTTTAGCCTTCGAAGAGCTCCCGGAGCCTTACCCCATTCCCAAGACACCCTCACTTTTGCTCTTCAAACTTCAAATAACGTGGTTTACAAGCGAGTCGGTCACACAAGCGAGTCGATCAGTTTCGGTCGCGACGCGTCGCGTCAACTTTCCACCCAAACATCTCAACACCTACGCAATGGATTCGCAATCCAAAGAATCCAGAGTGATCCTTGCCTTGCTGGCAATCGAAAATGATCCGAAAATTAGCATGCGTGCTGCAGCGAAGCTTTACAACATTCCCTACTCTACATTGAACGACCGACGCCGCGGCCGGATTGTTCGATGCGACAGCATGCCCAATTCTCGGAAATTGACGGAATCCGAAGAGGAGGCGCTTGTCAAGTACATACTCGAGCTGGATTCTTGCGCATTTCCTCCCCGGCCTTCTGGTGTTGAAGATATGGCCAACCGACTGCTCGCTGAACGCGACGCGGGCGCCGTCGGCAAGAACTGGGTCGCGAACTTCGTCAAGCGCCGCGCAGAGCTCGGTACGCGCTGGATTCGAAAGTACGATTACCAGAGGGCCAAGTGCGAAGATCCCAAGCTCGTTTCTGCGTGGTTCGACCTTGTACGGAACACTGTGGCCAAATATGGCATCCTAAATGACGACATCTACAACTTCGACGAGACCGGCTTCCTTATGGGCATGATCGCCGCCGTTATGGTCATTACAACATCGGAAGGCCGTGGCAAAGCAAAGCTGGTCCAGCCTGGTAACCGGGAATGGGCTACGGTCATTCAGGGGGTTAACTGTTGCGGCTGGGCAATCCCCCCTTTCATCATCGTCAAAGGGCAATACCATCTGGCCAATTGGTACTCGGAGACCGGCCTTCCACGCGATTGGGTCATTTCAACGAGTGCCAACGGGTGGACTACGAACGAGCTCGGCCTGGAATGGATTCAGCATTTCGACAGGCACACTGCATCGCGCACAAAAGGCACCCATCGTTTGTTAGTGCTGGACAGCCACGAAAGCCACCACTCGACGGATTTCGAGCTCTACTGCCAGGAACACAACATTATTACGCTTTGCATGCCTCCGCATTCGTCTCACTTCCTTCAGCCGCTTGACGTTGGGTGCTTCGGCCCGTTGAAAAAGGCGTACGGTCGAAAAATCGAAGACCTGATGAGGTTACACGTTAGCCACGTAACCAAGGTCGAGTTCCTTTCGGCGTTTAAAGCGGCATTCTTTGACTCCATAACCGAAAGAAATATTCAGGGAGGTTTCCGAGGGGCTGGCCTTGCTCCTTTCAATCCGGATTCGGTTCTGGAAAAGCTGGATGTAAGGTTACGGACTCCAACTCCCCCCAAAGAGCCCCTGAACGACGCCGAACCTTGGACCTCCAAGACGCCCCAAACAGCCAGGGACGCAACTTCGCAGTCCGAACACATCAAAACTCGGATCTCCAATCACCGAAGCAGCTCTCCGTCACCCATGCTAGCGGCTGTGGACCAGCTTGCGAAAGGGACGAGTTCGATAATGCATCAAGTGGCCCTTCTTAGGGCCGAAGTTGCTTCGCTACGCAAGGCGAACGAAGCATTAAGCAAACGCCGGAAGGCCAAAAAAACACGTGTTCGGCAAGGAGGGTCACATACTGTTGAAGATATACGAGATGTTTTGGACCAGCAGGAGCTAGATGGGCAGCTACAGCAAGAAATGCGCGACCATGGGGGTCAGGAAAGGAGGGCGACGACGACTCGTCGGCGATGTGGCACCTGCGGCAAGACCGGACACAATGCGCGCACCTGCCAGGAGGAAGTAGAAATGTCCGATGTATACAGTTCCGAGTAGTTTGAATGGATTCCTGGCGTTGTTGGGTTGGCATGCGCGTCGATTGACCGGAGGTCGGGTGTGGGTGATCGACTCGCTTGTGTGACCGACTCGCTTGTGAACCACGTTACCGCAAAACTGACTCCAAAATTTTACAGGTACCTCTTCAGGCCCAGTACCATGCCGGAGGGACAGCCTCCCAACGTCGCCATTTCGAATCAGCACGAGAAACCGGATGACTTCTCCCTGCCCGAGTTCAGGGCGTTGGTTTCTGTCCTTCTGGGTCACAGGATACAATGGCAGAACATTCTGGTCGAGCTAGCCATTCCTTACGTCGACTTCCGCAAGGATGAAACAAGCCTCGTTCTCTTCCAGGCCATGTATCAGGCAGGGCCGCCAAGCGAGGGGTCGGCTCTGAGGCAGGGGAACCACGCCTTGGACGATGCTGGTTTCTCCCACGAGCTTCTGCATCGACTTCGTGAGGCAGCGGGACGAATCAAGCAAAACTGGGAGTCATCTCAAGCTTTGTTTAGCTTCATCTGTGTCGCCACCCGTGTCTTATCTCTTTCATCGGATACAGATGTACACGAAGCCTGTTTGCGGTTTCTTCTCGAGACGCGTCGCATCGCCTTTGGCTGGCTGAAGCAGGTCCGCGCCGAGGCACAGTCAGCGACAGAGGAAGGCTTTCGTTTGGAACTGCTCGGCAAGACCGCAGAGATCGCTCTCATCTGTATCGCAAGCTTCGGCATCGACGAGCATCATCTTCAGGTGCTGTTGAATAGCCCTGAGGACGCATCGACGCTGATACAGTGCTCCATCAGTGCCCAGGAGTGCCTTCGACCGGAGGACCTCGAGACGCGTGGCTCACTCTTGTCGCTCATGATTTTCCGCTGGAAACGGGTCTGCCATCGAGCTTCCCCAGTCCTCTCCCAGGTGCTCACGTCGGCGGAGAGTAGGACCGTACACAGGAAAAAGGAGTCGACACAGGAGATGGCAACACACAGCGGAGATGCGAGCATACTTAAGAAAGAGGAGTTTACACAGGGTATGGGAGGACACAGTGGGAATGCCCTCGACGATGCCATCCTTCAGTCCTGGTCAGAGTACCACAAGGGAAGTCAGTGGAGGCCTCGATCGAAGCCGATGCAGCATTGGCTGGAAACCGAGACGGCCACGATCCAAGGCAGCTCGTTGGACGTGAACTTCAACCTCTTGACCGGAGAGCTGCTCGTCAATGGACTTCCCCTATCGCGACTTCCACCTGAGTATGAACGTCATCCAACCTACCGGCGTCTCTTCAGCAACACAATTCTCTACGTCATGCCATCCAACATGCCTGGAATGCAGTTTGGACTTAAATCAAAAGTCGCCGGCTACACCGTTTGCCTTGGGATGCAGATCCAAGATCTCGTCATATCTGCCTGCGGGGAGAACGGAGTCACATTTCAAATCGTCCCTGCCCGACTTTTTGAGAGCCTCCTCCCCGAATCGCTCGTCCAGGGCTGTACCCACTGGTACAACACGTTCAATCACACCGTCGAGTTTCGCCCCGTCCAGACCTCTTGGCAACCTTCTTCAAAGGATATCTGGACTCTGTCGAGGGCAGAATCCGGAGCTGGTTGGCAGCTTCGCAAGGGCCAGCGGCAGATGGTCTCGCGCCGTTGGAACATACCGCGCTCCACCCTTCAACGCCGACTCCAAGGAGGCCGGACCATGCGGAAGGCCAAGGAACCCTTCCAACGCCTTTCCGTTGAGCAAGAAAGCTTTGTTGCTGACTGGATTTGTACGGAAGAGATAGCAGGGCGCGCTCCAACGCGAGAAATGGTGTGAGAGTTCGCCGAGATGATACTATCTCCGGGCCCCAAGCTGGGGAAACGCTGGATCGACGGCTTTTTCGCACGGAATCCTATAATCACTACCAAAGTAGGCCGTGCCCTCGAGGCCTCTCGAGCCAAAGAAGCTACCAAGGCCGAGATCGACGCATTCTACGGCCGTCTTCGAGACGTTGTAGCCGCCCGCAATATTAAGACGGCAAATATATGCAACATGGACGAGACTGGAATTCAAGAGGGGGAATCACGGGCAGGAAAAGTAGTAGGGTCGGCCCTCACAAAGGCTACAGAAGTCAAGCAGTCAGATTGCACCACGTGGGTTACG